TTTCAAATTCCTCATATCAGTGAGATCATATGATACATGTCTTTCTCTGATTGACTTATTTTGCTTAGCCTAATACCCTCTAATTCCATCCACATCGCTGCAAATGGCAAGATTTCATTTTTTTGATAGCTGCGTAATATTCCATTGTATATATATACACCACATCTTCTTTATGCATTCATCTGTTGATGGACATCTAGGCTCTTTCCATAGTTTGGCTAATTGTGGACATGCTGCTATAAACATTGGGGTGTGTGTGCCCCTTCGGATCACTACATTTGTGTCTTTGGGGTAAATACCCAGTAGTGCAATTGCTGGATCGTAGGGTAGCTCTATTTTCAACTTTTTGAGGAAACTCCATACTGTTTTCCAGAATGGCTGTGCCAGCTTGCATTCCCAACAGTGTAGGGAACTGCATCCTCGCCAACATCTGTCATTTCCTGCCTTGTTAATTTTAGCCGTTCTGACTGGTGTGAGGTGGTATCTCATTGAGGTTTTGATTGGTATTTCCCTGATGCCGTGTGATGTTGAGCAATTTTTCATGTGTCTGTTGGACGTTTGGATGTCTTCTTTGCGGAAATGTTTGTTCATGTCTTCTGCCCACTTCTTGATTGGATTATTTGTTCTTTGGGTATATTGAGTTTGATAAGTTCTTTATAGATTTTGGATACTAGCCCTTTATCGGATATGTCATTTGCAAATAACTTCTCCCATTCTGTCGGTTGTCTTTTGGTTTTGTTGACTGTTTCCTTTGCTGTGCAGAAGCTTTTTATCCCGATGAAGTCCCAATAGTTCTTTTTTGCTTTTGTTTCGCTTGCCTCTGGTGACATGTCTAGTGGGAAATTGCTTCAGCTGAGGTCAAAGAAGTTGTTGTCTGTGTTCTCCTTTAGGATGTGGATGGATTTCTGTCTCACATGTAGGTCTTTCATCCATTTTGAGTTTATTTTTGTGTATGGTGTGAGAAAGTGGCCTAGTTTCATTCTTGTGCATATTGCTGTCCAGTTTTCCCAACATTTGTTGAAGAGACTGTCTTTTTTTCATTGGACATTCTTTCCTGCTTTGTCGAATATTAGTTGACCATAGAGTTGTGGGTCCATTTCTGGACTCTCTATTCTGTTCCATTGATCTATGTGTCTGTTTTTGTGCCAGTACCAAACTCTCTTGATGATTACAACTTTGTAAGAGAGCTTTAAGTCCGGAATTGTGATGCCACCAACTTTGCTTTGCTTTTTCAGCATTCCTCTAAGCAAAGAAAGAGCCTAAAAGTAACATAGACCAGAAAGGAATGGAGACAATATACAGTAACAGTCACCTTACAGGCAATACAATGGCACTAAATTCATATTTTTCAAGAGTTACCCTGAATGTAAATGGGCTAAATGCCCCAATCAAAAGACAGAGGCTATCAGATTGGATTAAAAAACAAGACCCATTGATATGCTGTCTGCAAGAGACTCATTTTAGACCCAAAGA